CGTGATTGGACACCCGGCACGTGTAAAGGCCACGGTCGGCTGGCTTGGCCGCGCAGATGTCGAGAGCGACCTCGCGGCCGTCACGTCCGTACGTGGCAGCGCGTCGGCACGCCGGGTACGGCCCGCCGGTCTTTGAACCGCGCGACATTCAGGGGAGCGGATCCCGACGCGACGCGCTCAAGCGTTGCGCTCTCGCCAACGCAGACCCTTTGAGGGTCGGGCTCGGTGACAAAGGCGGGAGGGACTCGTCTTTCTACGAGAACGAAGACCGAGACAAACGCGAACGACACGGTTACCGACGGCGCGGAGCGGTCCGCCGCCGGGTTCCTACCTGTCACGTTGAGCGCGGCGGAGCATCGGTCGGCGCCGTGCCTGTTGGACGCCTCGCAGCCGTACTCGCCGGCATCGTCCTCGGTGGCGCTCAAAAGCTCGAGGGAGGAGGCGGTCGTGCGACTGATAATCCTGAAGCGCTCCCCCTCTTTGATGAGCCTTCCGTCTTTGAACCACTTGAAGCGCACTTCGCCGGCATCCGCGGTTTCGCACTCGAACCTGGCCGCGCCGCCGGCGTTGATCTCCACGGGGACCGGCGAGCGCTTGAACACGGGCTTCGCCGTCTGGAGCGCTGGAGAGACACGGACAAAATCGGAGAAAACAAGAATGGGGTCAACCTGAGCTGAAGGGGGACGCGCGCCGAAAAAACAGCAGACTCGGGAGGAGCGTGCACGTTGACACCAAATCGGAGGTGTCCAAAGCGGGTCCTCAAGGGCCGCCGACCGGCCCGTTTCCGGCTCTCCCGAGAGCGACGCGCTTGATTTTGGACTAATTGGGTCGGTTCTCACACTGCTTCAGAGCCGGCCGATGAGCCGATCCGGGAGAGCCGGAAAACGGGCGGGACGGCGGCTGTCCGGGCCCGGAGCCGGACGCGCCTGCGCTAATCGTTTAGCGCAGCCTTTTCACCTTTTCACCAACGGTCACGTTTGCTGAGGAAAACTGGCTTTCGTTTCCTCTCCTCCCAAGTACTGGAGGAGAATTTGGACTCCGGCTAGAGTTGAAGCGCTCCCGTTTCGGCCGCTATATGAACATCTGAATCGTATGACATGTTCGGGCTTCCTCTTCCATTGCGACGGTCGAGCTCGTGAAGGCCGAGTGCAATAATGACAACGACCCAATAATAACCCACTGGTGACCCATAAGCGGGCAGCGGAGAGGATTTGTTGAAACTCGAGTCGAGTGAGATTCCGCCTGAATATTCGTGACGCGAAATCCGGACAACGTTGTCACGGTCATTCCAAAAGCCTTTTACCTGAGACTGAGACGTCCTCCCGGACTTGGATCACAGGTGCCCTCTTGTCCAGCGTCACTGTCGTGGCAGAAAAGCAACAAGTTAAAAGCCGAATCTGGCTCTCGTGCATCCATTATCACTTTGCGGATTCCTCTGACTGACAAGCGACCGCGTGACGCGAGCGATGCCGAACAACGGCGTGCTCCTAAAGCTCCAAGAACTGCTGGCAGTGGAAGTACAAAAACAAACAAACAAACAAAGGGTGGAAGAGTGCCAAGAGAAGCATGCAGATGCCAACCTTTGGTCATCAAGCCGCAGCCAACATCCCGGGCTGAGGTTTGGAAAGACAAAGAGCCCCCCTGTCCGGGTCCGGCGCTCATACAGCACAGGGGGCCGTCGCGTTTGCGTGAGTAGGACGCGGGAGCCGCAATATTCAAGCGGCCGTAAAGCCAAACGGCAAACGGAGCGGGAAGCCCCCCTTGGCCGCGACGCGGCCAAGGGCCCCAAGGGCCCCAAGGGCCGCGCGCCGGCGGCTCTCGGGGGATCCGGACGAGGAAGTCCGGCGGGCCGCGCAGACGGACGTCGGGAAAGCCGTTGAGGAAGTACAGCTGCGAGTACGGAGGCGGGGATCCCGGCTCATCCGCCGTCTTTTCCTGGTCCGGGCTCTCGGCGGGGTCTTTTGCGCTCTCCCCGGCCGCCCGTGAAGCCGCGTGCACCGAATCTGCCACAACGGCGCGCTGGTCTTTGGCATTTGCCTCTTTAGCTGGGTAAGAATCATAGGCGGGAGAGTCATTAGGGCTCACAGTGGGCTGCTCACACTTGTTAGTGACACTTTAGACGTTCTCGCGCTTGCTAGCGAGACGAGGCGGACGAGGCCCGCGATCCGCTCGCGCTTCTTCAGAGCCGTCACCGGCGCGCTCGACGCCGGTGACGAGAAGCGAGACGCGGCGCCGCCGCTAAACCGGCCCTTCTGTCTCAGAGCGAGACCTTGAACGAGGCGGGCTCGGCGGCGGCGGTTTGAAAATGTTTTTTGCCACGGAATGAAATGCGACAACTTAAGGAGACGTCGTGAAATGAGTTTGCGTCGCGTTCTACTTTTGGAAACTCATCAACGCGTATGAGTGACGGGGTGCTCGCGCTATGAACACGCCCAAAGGCTTGGGAAGCAGCGGGCTCCGCTCGGGGCCCCGTTCCCTTCGCGTCCGGCCGAGAAGGCGACGGTTCGTATGTCGCCAAAGCTAACGGCGGTCCACTCAAGAAGGAACGGTCGATGGCCGGATCGCTTCGGGTCAGATGAAGTCGCTCGCGTCCTGCCACCCAGAAGTAACCCGCAGGACCCCCCCACCACCGACACCCCCAGCCCCACCACCCAAAAAGAAATTCGGTTCAGACCCGTCAGCAACGCTTACATTTGTTCGGGCCACATAGCAAGCCTCAAATGATCCGTTTACCCTCGTCACGGCATGTCAGCGACACGTTGATGAGTTGGTGACGTGTTCACAGCGGCGATTGACAAAATAGCGACACAATCAACAGTCTTGTTGAGTTCCGAGTGTCGATAGCGGTCGCGAACAGACCCCGGCCGGGTCTGAAGGTCTTAAGATGTGAAAGGGTCAGTGGGGGGCGGGTGGATGAGGTCGGCCGGGCGAGATCAAAACGAGCAAGACTCGGGAGACGAGGCGGGCGGAGGAGCGGCCTGAGAAAAGAAGAAGGAGAAAGCACCTTCCACGGTGAGGCGAGCGGACGAGCTGCCGCGGCCGTGCCGGTTGGTGGCGGTGCAGCGGTACACGCCCTGGTCGGCCGGACTCACGCCCCGGATGACCAGGGACAAGAGCCCGCCGCTCTGGGAGCTCCGCGCCCGTTCTCCGAGCGGCTCCCGGCCGTCGTGATCCCAAACCACCCCGACGAAGGGCTGCCCGTCGAAGGAGCACACGAACTCGGCCATCTCGCCGCTTTTCACGCGGATGTCTCGCAGCTCCATCAGCGGGCGGGGCTTCAGGGGCGCTCGGCTTTCGAGGCCCTGCTCCGAGCGCTCCGTTTCGACGGCGAGCGTCCGCCAAGACGTGCTGGAGCTCTCCGAATACGACTCGGTCAGCTCGGTGACGCTCTGAGTCTCGTGCCTTTGACTGAGCTTAGTCTCGGTCCAGGTGCGAGCGAAGGCTTGTTCATCTGCGCGGTCAGAAAGAGCACAAGGGTTAGAACGGCGCAAGATGTCGGACACTTCTTCCGTGGACCGGATCCGTCGGACTCGGTGAGCAAAGGGGAGCGGGGTGGGCTTCGAGCGCGCGGCCCGCGTGCGAAATGAGTCCGGCGAGCGGACACGAAACCCCCGCACCGGCCCGGACAAGCTGGCGCCCTTGCCGGCAGCAACACAAGTTTATGCTTGCGTCGTCATTGGAGCGTTGACACCAAGCGCCGCTCAGCGGGCACTCGGAAAACACATCACATCACAGGATGAGACGCGACGTCCAGAAACCCGATGACATCGCCGTACGGACATGAAATCGCGTGGCGTGACGTCACGTGACGCGACGCGACGGTCGGTGCAAACCGACGCCAGGCCCGAGGAAGACTTTGTCTCGCCGCTCGCAAATTCTCGTCCCAAAAGCAAGAGCGAAGGAAAGCCGTCTCTTTGGAACGCTGCCAACTGTCGCCGAAGCGACCGCCGGACTGCAGACCAAACGACGACTCGTGACGAAGAACCTGTAGAACCTGCATGCAGACGCAGCGCAACGCCGCACAGTCCCGACGTGAGACGAGATGCTGCGCGCGAAGAGCTTGTGGCCGAGACGCTGACAAATGTCAATATGATCTCCTCGACATCAGGTGCCCGTGACTCAGGAGGCGGAGCGGCTTCCAATCCCATCGTCCGAGTCACGTGGCATCGCGTGCGCCCGTCGCGCTCGCGCTCGGCGTACGGCTGGCGCGAATGCCCCCGCCGTCAAGTGTTTTGGAGCGTCCGGCCAAGCGCTCTCTTCATGGGATGCGCATAGTGGTTGATGATGGTGACGATGGCGAGTCGGGCAGGAAGCGCACATGGTCGGCACGCGGCCTTAATCGATCCGGAGTCGAATGTTGGACTTTTTGTCGGCGGCGCTGCAAAAAAAAAGCCGGAGCTTGTTGGAGGTCCCCATCCACAATGGGGCTCAAGCCGAGGTCCGGGTACCGCTCCGCTCTTTTGCCCGCACTGGAACGACATTTCGGCGCACAGTCGAACTCCCCCCGTCTGCCTTGACCAAAAGGTTCCTTTCTCTGGCGTGGGACATTTCGGCACCCCGGCGCAACAACTCATGGAACAGCTCAGTTCCTCGTGCGCTCGCGCAGATCGGCGCTACGAGTCGTCGTCTGACTCGTGAAGAGCGAGAGCCGACTCATACGTGGAAATCAAGTCGAGGTCGTCGTACGCAAATCCCGGACATTCATTGGCAGCGGACTCCTTTTCATCGGGAATTGGGCAAGGCCGTCGGAGCATTTGTTCCGCGTCCCGCCGGCGCGCCGGGTCGTCTTCCGACCGAGGACGGGGCCGGCGTTCTCGGCGCGCGGACTCGAAGCGCTCGGGCGCAGAGCGGCGGAGACGGACGGACGGGGCGTCGCCGCGCCGGTCTCGGTGCGGAGAACTCACCGTCCACGTGGAGAGCGGCCTCGCACGTCAGCGTCCCCCCCGAGTTGGCGGCCACGCACGAGTACTCTCCTTCGTGCTCAAAGGCCACGCCGGAAATGCTCAAGCGGCAGACGTCTCCGCATCGAGACATCTGGAAGGGCTCCGATTGCGCCAGCTCTCGGCCGTTCCGCAACCAGCTGACTTGCAGATCTGCGCCGGAAGGGGGCGGGAGGAGGCGTGCCGTCAGGATGCGAAATAGACTACGCCGCGGAAAAGCAACGACAACCAAATCTCTTTCGGCATGCGAAGCGAGAGACGAGAGCGGTGCGCCCCGATACGGCCAACGAAGGCAGTCGCGAAATTGAAAGAAAAAAAACAAAGACTCCGTTGCCACGTTAGCATTTTGATGGTTTGTCACGCGCAACGTCTCCGGCGGGAAGACGAGCAGTCGCGGAAGCCGGCAGGGTGCGCCGTCGGCCTGAGACGACCCACGCGGCCGGCTTGCCGTCCATTGCGGCGTTTGGGGCGTCTTTTCACAATTTGCGTCTCTGTCGTTGCTTTGCGTCTTTTCCCGTGTTTGCGGCCCGTGATTTGACGTGGACGTTGGTTGTTTTTTTTAGTGTTTGTTTTGAACGGAGGCGCACGTCTTACCTTCCCCAGAGACGGCGCACTCCAAAAGGGCCGAGCGGCCCGCCGTCACCAGGACGTCCCTCATGGGAGAAAGCAGCAGCGGAGCGGCCACCCGGGCCGCGCTTTCTCGGGCCGCTGCAAGACAAGACATCCAAAGTCCGCATGTGGGAACCGCCATTGTTGTTTTTGCGCCGGCGCTTTCAAATGTTTCCGATCCTGAGCGGGCGTCGGCTTGTGATATGCCGCCCGGAGGCAGCGCGACAGCCTCACCGCTCGCTTGAAATGCAATTTTTTGGGTTTCTTGTTTTAAATTGGACTTGACTTGATCTGTTTGTCGCAACCCGTCCCCGAGGTCCCTCGCGTGTGACCTCGGAAGCCGCGAACGAATTTCCCGAACGGGATCAATTTGTTCGGACGGCGAACGAACCTTCCACGTGGAGGGACGCCGAGCAGGCGGCCTCCCCGAAGTCGTTTTCGGCCCGGCAGCCGTAGACGGCGGCGTCCTCCGGGGAAACCTCCGGCAGCAGCAGCGCGTGCTCGTCCAGGTGGCGCAGGAACTGGCAGGCGGCGCCGGCGCTCAGAGGCCGGGAGCCCCGGTACCAGGTCACCTGAGGCGGGGGCAGCCCGCTCACCCGCACCGAGAAGCGAACCGATTGGCCCGCCGTCGCCGTCTGAGGCCGCATGGGCTCAAGCACCTGAGGGGCTTCGGGGACTTGGCACACAAACAAGGAGGGGGCGCCGTTAGCTTCCCGCTTCTTCTCCTCCCCCAAAGAGGAGGTCAAAGCGTCGACAAGCATTCCTCTTTCAGGACCGTTCCAGAAGACGATCCTTCCGAGCCCTCCCTAAGCGCCGGATTTGTGTTTTTCCCTTCGAATGCATTCTCAACTGATGCGAAACAAACCCAAAAAAAGGATCAAGTACGTTTTTCTTCGAGGCGATAAGCTGCGGCTTCGCCCGACGGCTTTTCGGCTAGCTTCATCCATCCCGACGCAAAACGTGCAATTGGACTCAAAGCCCCTCTCCGTCGTCGGCGTGCCTTCCAAAGGCCGCGCTTACTTTGCACGTGAAGGCCGACGACGCCGCTGTTCTTCCCGGCGACGAAGGCGTACTCGCCGGCGTCGCCGCGGTAGGTTTCGGCGACGGTCAGGCGGTGCAGCTTCCCGATGGCCACGTAGCTGAAGCGCCGCTCCTCGGCTAGCCGGATCTCCGCGCCGTCGCGCAGCCAGCGGCCTTCCGCGTCGTCCTCGCTCACTTCGAACTCCAACGTCGCTCTTTGTCCCTCGACAACCTGAAACAAGTCGGCAGAAACTGAGCGGCTTTCTGGCGCATTGTCGACCCTTCCCCCCACCCCATAACGTGTATGCGCTGGTTTGGAGCGTTGGGTCCCTTTTGAACATTTAGACGTCCCAATTTCTTGACTTGCACGCAACGCCGCGCCATGCGTGTTGATTTTGCCCACGCTGAAGATGGACTTTGGTTGACATTGTTCTCGTTCGGTCAACTGTCCCATTTCTGAGCGGCGGGGGAGCGGCAACAGATGCTCGGGAATGCGCGTTGAAGTCAAAGTGTGCTTTTCATGAATTTCAATCGACAGCTAATCAATTCTGCAATGAACGGACGACTGTTTTGATCAACTTGTTCGACTTCAATTCGAGAGCCTCGACGCTCAGAAATTGCAACTCCCGACGGCGCATTTGGTGCGGTTTCCCCCGTGAGAGCCGACTGCTCATCTTTTGTGCGCTCTCTCTCGCTCGCTAGAATCCATTTTCACGGATCTGCTGTGACGGTGAAAAAGCAAACATTTCTTGCGGTTTTCCGACGGCTGTTACGAACCAAAGCGCAAAGCCAACCTTCGTCACTCGGTCTTGGGAAGGAATGGATGGAAATTCCTTTTCACAATCCGAGTCATCGGTGAACGGGCGACGAACCCGAGAATCTCGAGCGGGAGGGAGGCATGCGAGAGGCGTACGGTCTCTCGCCTCTCGCCGGCGTTCGCGCCATCGGGGCACAAAACGGGGCTCCCCTGCGGACTCACGGTCACGTTTCTGGCGGCGGGCTCCGAGATCTTGATGTCCCGTCCCTCCACCGTCAGGTTCCCCTTGGACACGCCGGAGCCGGCCACGGCGGCGTACTCTCCGGAGTCGGACGGCCGGACGGACGGCAAAACCAAGCGGTGCGCAAAGGTCTCCGAGGTCATCTTGTATCTGCGGGGAAAAAACCTTTTTCACTCGACTTTTCTTTGACTTTGCGGCGGGCGGCCGGTGGAAAGCTTGCGCCGAGCGAGCGAGCGACCTGTCGGACGGCTCCAGCTCCTGACCGTCCTTCATCCACACGACCGGCACGTCGGCGTCAGAAACTTCACATTCAAAGGTCGCTCTCTTCTTTTCTGTGATCTTCAAGTCCTTCAGGTGTTTGCTGAATTCAACCACCCGAGCTGGCACCGGAAAACAAAGTCGCCTTTCAGCGAGACAATCCCCAAAGCAGCCGTCCGTCCGTCCGGTCGGTGTCGGTCGGTCCGCACGCTTACCCTCCACGGAGAGTTTTGCGGCGGGGCGCGCCCGTTCCCCCCCAAAGGCGGAATTCGCG